AGCTAACTGTATTTGTTTATGAAATGCTGTATTTTATAAAAAAAAAACCTATTATGTATAAATTATGAAATCTGATTACATTCTTTTCTGATGCCAACAGATGTTGATGAATGTATATCAAATCCATGCTCTAATGGAGACTGTGTGAACACACCTGGCTCTTATTATTGCAAATGCCATATAGGTTTCCAAAGAACACCTACTAAGCAGGCTTGCATTGGTATGGAAATGTTATTTGCACATTATCAATTTAATATATGCTTATCTTTGATTTGAGTCTGATCCTTATTCAACTCTGAAAGCAAGTTTATTTTGTCTGTTCAATAAACCATGACAATATTTAATGTTTGCAGATATTTAATTAAATTTATGGTATAATGAAGCAAAATTTGACAAAATGTATCGTGTTTAATTCCAGTGATCCTACACACATGTATCTCATTTTGAGAATGAACCATGAAAAAGTAAAGCAACATTCCATACGTACGGTTGTAATAAAACAGTTACTGGTTCTGTTAACAAGATTTCAGTGATCCTTTTTTCCAACCACAGTTTTCATTTTTTTTCCAAATTAACGTTTGACAGAAAAGCACTAAAAAAATCTGAGAAAGCTTCTAGACCTATTTTGATCTTGATAATAGCATTAAAATTATGTTAACAGGTCTATTGATTCTTAGCATATATTGGACTCAAGTGATAAAGAGTATTCTACTGATTAGGAGAGCTCAGATTTCAGTATGATCTCAGATGTATCCAGGATATCCTGAGGCTTTAAACTTGAAAAGCTGTAACACTCTTGCTGCCTTGAGTGCTCCATTTAGATCAGGGGAGTCAAACTGCCGGCCCGTGGGCCGGACATGTCACGTGGAAGCCGCGCCCACCCCATTGCCGGCAATGGCAAAACTGGCCCAATACGTTGCGTGATGTCACTTGACGTCACAAGTTTGACATGCCTGATTTAGATAATGAAAATTAATGATAATAATATGTCTGCATAGCCAGCTTTTTTTTCTTCAGTCATGCTTAATTCTGGAAGTTTGCAATTAGTATAATTTCTCATAGGTGTGTATACAATGCGAGCATATGGTTACTAGAACAAAAATTGCTCTAAATATGGTTATCTGTTTTATTCCAGAAGTTATCATACGGTAGCCAGAGGGGAATTCATACTCAGCAAAGTTCAGCAGAAGTTCCTGTTCAAGACAAGAACACTTATTCAAAATAGCCCCTAACCTACTATACCACTGGGAGTGGGAATGATTTGGGGGAAAATGTAACAATCCAAGTTAGGGCCTCAATATGGGTATGGATTAAAGAGTCCTGATTTAATGGTGTCTCATGCATTATTTTTAATGCAATGAAGGCAGCTGATATGTGGAGAACAGAATCTTGATTGTTTTAATCCTTGGTCAGAGTCATGGCTTAGTTTTGCAGTTAACTTTATTTGTGTTAGAAAAACTTACTTGTGCTCTTTCTTAATCTGCCAGTAATTTTTGGTCAGTGGTTTTAAAATTTTTGGTTTTAAAGATAGTGACAAAGTGGCGGACATAAGGAATAAATTTATTTGAAAAATTTAAGGGGTTTAAAACATGTGTTTTTTATATTAAATACCCATTTTAGGCTTTGCCAAATCCATTTTATTTCATGCTGCTCCACCTCTCGCCTCTGTCCACATCTGGCTCTTGAGTCACAAAATAATTGGGTTCCCATGATTTATAGAGAAGAAGGTAGTCTTAAAACTCTTGCAAATAAAATAATAGCTGGCTATTGAAACATTTACTTTTATTTGTTTTTCTCAGACATTGATGAGTGTATTCAGAATGGTGTCCTTTGTAAGAATGGTCGTTGTGTGAACACCGATGGAAGCTTCCAGTGCATTTGCAATGCTGGCTTTGAACTGACAACTGATGGGAAAAACTGTGTTGGTATGCATTTCTTGTTTTATTTTATATTTTAGGTGAGCTCTGAATCAATAGCTTTGCTTTATCATAATTGCTCACATTTATTGCTAATGAGAGGTGCAAATTTCCTGAGAAAAGCTTGCAAATTGCCTTGCTAAAGATGCACTCCATGGATTAGGAAATTATATTGGATACTGTCAAGTTTTGAAGTGTGGGGCAATGGGATTGGCACGAGGAGGAAAATTAATTTTAAAAGGCCTATCTTTTTGTCCTGCATCAGCAGTTTCCACTAGATCAGAACCCTATTTCTGAGTAGAAAAAAAAATCTTTTGGGATTTACAATTTCAGATGTTATTTCAATTGTAATCTCTAATGCTTTATTTTTCAGATCATGATGAATGTACAACTACCAACATGTGTTTAAATGGAATGTGTATCAATGAGGATGGCAGTTTCAAGTGCATCTGTAAACCTGGGTTTGTCCTGGCTCCTAATGGACGTTACTGTACTGGTATATATATTATACCTATCTTGATGAGACTAGTATTTGTATAAAAAGTTCTATACTGATATAACAACAATACTAAATTTAAATTTCTGTACCGTTTGACTCCCAGCAACTCTTATTTGTGATGTGTTTTCTGCATTTGAAAGTGTAATGAAAATCTTTATTATTTATAGCATGCATATGCTGTCTTTTTATTGTTGAAATGTTTAATGAAATTGCCGAAATAAAACCAGATAACATCACTGGAGCTACACATAATATTAAGCCAGATTGTTTTCAATAATAGTTGTTGAACAATCATGGAAAATTAATTACACATAATAGTCATTTATAACATAAGTAAGAATACTTCATAGAGACAATCTTTTTATGGACTATCTGGGATCCCACCAATTTTATCTGCACTGATAAAATTCAATAGAAAATCAATGACACTTTTTTCTTTCATTCTTTTATTCATTAAAATGTTGGATAAGTTTAAATATCAAATAAAAGAAAGAGAGAAAAATGGCTCCATTCACTTCTAATTCCTTTATGACAATATGGACTTATTCTTGGCTGCAGAAAATAGTTTTTTAAAAAGTGGTCCCCAAGTGCTCAACTGCATTAGGGTGTAGGTTATATCAGGGGTCCCCAATCCTTGGGCCACGGACCGGTACCAATTCATGGGAACTGGACCTTGGAAGCGGGGGCAAGCATGCAAAGCTTCATTTGTGCATGTGCATGGATCTAGGTTGCATGTACAAAAACTGCTTCCTACCTGCTGCTGCTGCTGCTGGTCTATGAAGCCAAAAAGGTTGGGGACCACAGGGTTATATGATTATGAATGTAGCATAGTGAACATTTTTAAAAATGGTAGGAAAGATTCATTGACTGAAAAAAGCCATATTAACTGTTTATCAAGCAATCCTATATTACTTAATAGGATTCTTGATTTTTTTAAGCAATACGATCTATTGGCGTTCACATAGAGAGTACTAAATTTATTTATGTGTACAATTTTCCTCTTTTTGTAATAGATATTGATGAATGCAAGACTCCAGGTATTTGCATGAATGGTCACTGCATTAATACAGAAGGATCATTTCGTTGTGATTGTCCACCTGGACTAGCTGTTGGAGTTGATGGACGAGTTTGTGTAGGTAAGTATTTTTTTTCTACTTTTTCCCCACTAAAACGTTTTAGGTTTAACCTATAGCCTTGAGATTTACTCATGATTTTCCATTCAAGTGTTAATTGGGTCCAACCCTGCTTAACCTTTTTTTTAAAATTTGTCAAGCTCAGTTAAATATTATCATCTGTTGCAACAAATATTTCTTTGATTAAAAAGAAAGTAATAAGTTACATATAGCAGAACTGTGGATTCATTCATATCTGAAATAGCATGTTTTTCTCCAGGAAATTAATTGACAAACTTTAGTATGCTACTTAAGAAATAACTTGTAACATAGATAGAATGCCCACTTGGAAACAGTAATTACATAAACCACAGCTGGATGTTAATATTTGACTGGTATAGAATTTTACAGAATTTAAGTCTTGAATTCCATATGAATCCATACATTTTAGATGTAAAAATTGGATTCATTTTTAAATGAGAATGCTTATTTATATCATCATGGAATAAGACAATTTATGTATTGTTTTTGCCATCTTTTCTTAGACACTCATATGCGAAGCACATGCTATGGTGGAATCAAAAAAGGGGTATGTATTCGCCCTTTTCCTGGAGCAGTGACAAAATCTGAATGTTGCTGTGCCAATTTAGACTATGGCTTTGGCGAACCATGCCACCCATGTCCTGCCAAGAATTCAGGTAATGGGATATCATTTTGAACTTCATACCTGGTATGAATAATAAATTGTAAACAAATGATGGATTATAAATCTTGCTCAGTATTTTTTAAAAGCAGTTTTTTTTATTATGAAGAACCTACTACCATTTTTTGTTAGCATTGCAAACAAAGAGAGGGAAAGCCTTCTTTTTCTTTCTCCCAAAATACTATATTATGTGTCCAGGACATTTGTTTTCTGCTGGGCTTTCAGTGCTGTTTCATATCAGTTTCAGATCAAAGTATATCTCTTTGTTTTTTAGTGGGAGTTTTAATATTTATGTTTGTTTTTCTTAGGAAAAATTATTTGTCTTTAAACCACTAGTAATATAGATCTCTTTTCTCCTTTAAGGTTTATATTCCTGAGAGCATTATGCACTGCTTATATACAAAAAACTTGCTTGGATTGAATTCAATTTTATATTATACAATATAGCACAAAATAAGAATGTGGAAAGCAAAGTGCATGTACACAGGACATTCATAATAAATTAATTCAAACATTAAATGCAGTTGAATTGAATTGGATCTAAATGTTGAACTAGATTCTGTTCCCAAAAATTTACTTGCTCATGCTCCATAACATGCAAATGGCGTGTGCAAATGCTGCGTATTTCTTTATTGTAGATCAATTGCTCTGACTCTAGTTAAGTATTTTGGTAAGAAAACATTTTGGAAGTGAATAGTAATGACTGTTAATTTTTTAAATATAAAAATAGAGCATATTGAATATAAAACTATGGTAATACTTTGCAACTTGTTTTTATGACAGTAATACTTACATTCCAGAGAAGCATATTTTACCAATTTTGCCAATGGTAAATTATTCGTTGAGATACGGCTCTATTACAATGTAGTGTAGTTGTCCAGAAATTTTGGAATCTGTGGAGCTGGGGTGATATAGTACACGCTAATATTCTGAAGATGAACAAGCTGGCCACCCCCATTTACAGTGTAAATGAAGATATAATCTATTGATTGTAATAGAAGGTTTGCTTTCATCTAAGTAATGTGTGTAAACTTGACTACATTTATCTTATTTAGAATAACTGTAGGAAATTAAAACTAAAATTATGTTACTGTTATTTTAGGAAGTCTTTCTGATGTTATTTTATTTATAAGTGAATGGGATTAATTATGTTATTAATTATGTATAAATTTTCAAAGAATTTAACTTTAGTAAAATATTGAAAAATATTAAAACTTAATATAGATGCTCTAATTATATTGTGTTTCACTATTTTTATTTTCTCATGTGAAGCTGAGTTCCATGGCCTTTGTAGTGGAGGAGTAGGAATTACTGTGGATGGAAGAGGTAAAATATGCACATACAAATATATATTAAGTAAATCTAGTCTTTGAATTAAAGCTTCAAATTACAGTCATAATGGTCATTAAGTGGATCATCATGTGATTTTTTGGCTTGCAGTAATTGTTAATGGTTATTACACAGACCCATTGTGTGCAATGGACTTTTTGCTGGGAATGGAAAGTAAATGCTGATTTCCAGCAAAATATGTTGTAAAACGCTACAATCAGCTGCAAATGTGATCCAGTGACTGAGTGCACAAAATCCGATCATGTGACCACAGGCGGGGGGGGGGATCAGAACTTTGTATTCAGATCATAAGTACCTTTTTTGGGGTCTATTCTAACTTTGAATGGTGATAAGTCAAGGACTACCTGTATTCTTGTGCATGTAAACTGTTATAATAACTACAGACTTTTCTTTAGAACCACATATTATTGGTTTCATTCTGTTTTAATACATTGTAATATGTTGGATATTTTGATTATGCCATTTTTAAATAATAACATATATGTCTCTAGATTTCTAACTAAGATTTTTTTTATTTTTTCTGTTAATGTTCATATTAAATATAAACCTGTGCTGACTTCATGAATAATAAATACATTATTGGTATTTAATAAAAATATTGCGAAATATACGGTACTCTTGACAGATTATATTATTATTGCAGATATAAATGAATGTGCTTTAGATCCTGATATTTGTTCTAACGGGATTTGTGAAAACCTACGTGGCAGCTATCGTTGTAACTGCAACAGTGGATATGAATCAGATGTTTCAGGACAAAATTGTGTTGGTATGTTATATGAATAGTATTCATTCTGAAACTGTTATAATACCTTAAGATTTTGAATACACAGAAAGAATAGTGACTCTACTACATCATCACTATCAATAAATTATTGACTATGTATTATATACTGTAACAATATGAACAAATGGGGTCATCTTTCTTCCTGATGTTTTCCAGAGGGGTAGGTCCTCACACAATGTGTCTAAAATACAATAATTTGAAACTAATCATTTGTGCTTTGAGTGAGAATTCTGGATTGATTTTTTTCGATGATCCACTTCTTTGTTTTCTTGGCTGTCCATTGTATTATCAGAAGTCTCCCAACATCAAAGTTGAAAAGTTTTAGAACTCTTCCTATCCTGTTTCTTCACAGTCCAACTTTCATTTCCACAAAGTGTTATAGGAGATACCATTGCTTGCATTATTCTAAATACTGTAAAGGTAGACGCATCACGGCATCTGAATTTATTTTCCAAGGCCTTCACGGCTCCTATATTAAGTTCTAGTTTACAGCATATTTCTTGACTATTTGTTACTTTATTGTAGGTAGTTGATCCTAAAACACAGAAGCTATCATCCACTTTGATATCTACCTTGTCAGTTCTAAAGCACATTGTTGCATCCATTGTCTTCTTTAGGTTTAATTTTAGTTCCATCTTTTCACTGTTTTCCTTTCTTTTATTACCAGATGTGCTGATTCTTTGCCTTTTGGCTATCAAATTAGTGTCATCAGCATAACACAGGTTATTGATGTTTCTTTCTCTAAATTTTAAAATCACATTCATCTTCTTTCATGCCTATTATATGGCAACTAGACAACTTGAAGGCTTTAATTTAGCCATACCATTAGTTCTTTGAAAAATCCTCAGCTCTCCCTCAGTAGCCTATTGAGTACCATCCAATCTGAGGAGCTGATCATGTAACAATATATTGTCATTTATTTTATATTTTCTATCCATGTGGTTTTCTTAGTAAAAATCATAATTTTCTGCGCTGTATGAATTGATGCTTCAATATTGTCCCTAAAATGACACCTGCATCTTCTTATATCACTGCTACCAAATAAGGCACCTACTTGGTTTAGCTGAGCTGTGGAAATGACTTTCATGCCTTATATAATTTTCTTTTATCTAAATTTTTTGTTTATGTTTATAGCAATTATATTTATCTTGAATTTTTCTCAGGTACATAGCTACTTAGAAACTCGCTTAGCTATAATTATTGAGGACCATTCTATTGGGAAATAATTAATTGACTCCAGATGTTATTTTCTGTATGGACTGAAGAACTATTTACATATAACATTATCATGTGAATATATATATATATTCATGGGTTTTCAGGGTCTCCTCAGGTGTGGAATTATTTTTGAAATGCCCAACTTCTTCCTCTGCCCTGACCTTTTTTAAAAAATTGAGATATGTATCACCCAAAATCTATTATAGTTATATGCAGGAGTCTCCATACTTCTATACCATCATACTAGCACAGGAGGCTGTATAGAAAATTTTATTATCCTTCAGTGAATATGATTTCTAGTTTTGCAAACAGAATTCCTCCTTTAATTTGCATAATATATTAGACTATTTGTCAACTATATTTAGTGGAAAGTTTATGGTTGTTTCAGTCATATTTTTTACATTTGAACTCATGAACCCTATTCATGAAAAATTGTTCAGCTTCTATATTTATATAATATCTGTTTCAATAAAAGCTAGTTTGGTAATATGTACTATATAATACAAATAATAATCCTAACTTTGCATATCATAAATTAATTAGATTAAAACCTACACTTTTCACAATTATATTCTAAAGTGAGACAATCTATTATTGAAAAACGTAGTACTGGATGAAGATATTGCTTGCTTGCTCATAGAAGAACACATTTTTCTAGCATATAAACTAATTTGAACTATTAATTTCTTTTCTAGACATTGATGAATGTTTTGTAAATCGATTATTATGTGATAATGGCCTTTGTCGAAATACACCTGGAAGTTACAGCTGTGTGTGCCCAAAAGGATATATATTCAGCAGTGAAACAGACACATGCGAAGGTAATAATTTGTAATTGAAAAATAGGGATTCTGTTGTTTAATCAATTCTCTCATTAATTTAAATTGATAGTATTAGTAGAGATAAAGTATTTGATTACAATCTGACTTCTTTCTTTTAAAAAATAGAAAGTGCCAAAGCTGTTCATTCTTAATTTTTCAACTCCAATTGTAAGCTAATTTCTTAATTTTTGAGACATTAAAATTGACAAATCTCAGTCTGATTCACTAAATACTAATATAATTTTTGGGGGACAAGCAGGACATATTTGGAACTAAATTGGGAGTTAACTTGTAAAGTTGCATCAGTTTTTTAGTTGTTATGGGCAGATTGTTTTACAGAGCAACTATTCCTCTGATGCTGTTTGTGAAGGTGGGACATGCCATATTTATCTAAATATTCTGGAAGTGTGTTTATTCTATTCAACAATAACTACATTACTGGGTTTGAATTTCAGGCTATTAATATTTTGGAAATATTTTCACGTACTACAAAGTTAGCCTGATCTAGATAGCTTTCTAAACTATTATCTAACATTAATATCTGCTGAACTTTTACAACCTGTAAAATCTGTGTGCAAAGCAAAATGTGATTTGAATTGTACATACATATACATAGCAATAATGGTAGAAAAGTGCTGCTTCAATTCCAGTTGATGAACTGATCTACTATGAGGTAGTATATTGCTATGGAAAAGTAAGGCACCTCTGGTTGATAATGGTGAGATGAGTGCCTTCACTTTGCCCACTGCCCAGTTTCAGAAGTGTGTTCTGTGCATTCAGACGAATGTGCAGAAAACCAGCAAATTCTGAAGTGGTGAGCTCAATGAAATGGTGGCATAGCAATTTTGTTGCACAGCTAAAAGTTGAGTGGTACTTTGTACAGCTGAGCAGGAACTCATAAGATGATCCATATTGATAAAGAACATGGTTTCTTGTTCTGAAATGACTTTATGATAGCCAATGGAATCATAATCAACAAATTGAAAATGCCTAATTGGAATACACTTTCTTGTTAATAAAGAACAGTCTGTTTAGCAGGGACATATTGTTGCCAATAGAAATTCACAATTTACTTCCAGGGATACTTCAATTTTATCAGTGAAGCAGCCCTTCTCAGAGCTTTCCCAAAAGTTCAGTGAAAACTTTGCTCCTGATTTCTACATACATTGTGGTTAACATATACTCCTTATACATGTCTATATTTTGGTTCACTCTAAACAACCAGTTTCCATCATAGTCAAAGTAATTTGAACACTGACTGAAAATCTCGCTAGTCTTTTAAAAAAATAACATTTCTATTGTATAATTGGGAAACATAAATATATTTGTGTAAAAAGATATATGGTATGTTTTGTACACAATAAGATTGTTGCAACATTGCAACAGGGTTATTTTATGTAACATAATTCTGTTCAAATGAAAGTAGATTATATTGAACTCTGGGAGAACTTGCATTAAATAAACATGTTTAGTGTTGTACTGCATGCCATGTTTTAAAAGCTGTCCACCAGATGGATAATTTTCTCTTTATGGACCCCGAAATCTGGTTCAGAGAGTTGGGGAAAACTTCCAGGGTAGATTTGGTGCATGTAGAAGACAATAGGGAGACAGAGCTAAGGGAAATCAGTTTGCAGGATATTTGAAGTTGCCCTTTGTCGGGAGTTCAAATGGTTGTGTATGTGTTTTAATATTTTAGTACTATGGAGAACTTATTAAAAACTAAAGGCTGAAATACTACAACAAAGAGATGCTAACTGTATCTGTTTATCTTGATATTTAGCTTCAAAGAACAGCTGTAGCTATAAACATGTTCACGCTGTTATACATGAATCCAGAACACAAACAACAATACATAAATCATTGTAATGTAATCACAAGGAACATTTCAGATGTTAGCTTTGACTCTCAAGAAGAAAATAACACAAGTTACTTTTATAGAAGAAGAAAATTCAGCTAAACTAAGTTTTTAATGTTTTAGAAATTACAGTGGAAAATAGGTTGTTTATAATCTTGATAATCTTTTTTTTTCTTTAACATTTTATTAAGTAATAAATTCTCCCAAAACCTGTTCTAAGCAAATTTAAATCCAGATGATTGTAAACTCCTATAAGAGTATTAAAATATTGAATAATCTGGGTTTAAATCTATGAGAAGTAGAAATGAAAGTTGTCATAATTTTTTTTATTTTAAATAATGTTATTTAGTTCTTACTTAATCTGATGAAGCAAATATTTAAAATATTCAAGGGCACATTAATACAAAGAAAATAAGAGTACTGAAAAATGCAACAGTATAATCCAAACCATATAAGAATAGGACTTGTCTTAAAAAGGTTTGTATACAATTGCCCTTAGTAAATAATAATAATAGTAGCTCTATTTGGAACACTTACATCCTGCAATGATACTTCTAACCATCAGACATCAACAACTGCCTATCCCAGGCCCTTGGGAAGGACTCAATTCAGGGATAAAAGCGGCAAATAGCAATAGCACTTCGACTTATATATTGCTCCATAGTGTTTACAAATAGTGTACCCAACAATATTGGTACTCAAATCCAGTCCAAACATTTGGCTGACTGTGATGAACCATAATTTATCAAATTTATATGCCACCCAACTCACAGCATATCTGGGTTTAGAAATCATTTAAAACTTTAAAACAAGAAACCTCACAAAACAAAAAGAGTACAAAGATGGCAGAGATCACATATCTAATGCCAGGTCTTCAGGGCCGTTCAAAACTCCAGTAGGGTGGGACTACTTGAATGTTGGGGGAATCTCATTCCAGAGGGCAAGTGCTACTACAAGAAGGTATGCTTCTAGCACCCAATAGATGGCATTATTTAACTGAATGAAACTGGAGTATGCAAACTCTACTACCTTGAATCAGGCAGGCAGATATTATGTGAGACGGGTCCTTCAAGTAACCAGGCTCTCTATACAATGTAGGCCTTTGAAGGTAGCAACCAGCATCTCAAATGGCACCTAGAAGCAAACTGGCATCCAGTGCAATTTGCAAAACAGAGGTGTTACATGGGCATATAGAGACATGTCCATTACTCTCCATGCCACTGCATTCTGGACCAGTTGAAGCTTACAAGTGGTCTTCAAGGGTAGACTCATTAGAGTGCTTTGTAGTAGTTGAGCTGTAAGGTGACCAGGGCATGAGTGTCTGGAAGGTCCCCCAATCTACGGCACAATTGATGAAACTGCAAAAGTCTTGTCTGACCACCCTTGAATAGGAAAGTGCTAAAGATGGAATATTCCCAGATCTGGGTGGTTCTAACACCATCATACAGTTGAGCTTGATAGGTTTACTATAATTAATAATATGTCTAGAAATATAAAGTTATAAGACCATAGACATTTACAGTTCACTTAAACTGGACATATTTTAAAAGGGCAAATTTTCTCCACACCCCTGGCAATCTTTTAAATTTATGAGAGTTTCTAAACACTAAATGTGTGTGAAGTTAGCAGAAGAGAGAGGAAGAAGGAGAAGACTGAAAAAACCTCTATTCATTTGACACCAAAAAAAGGCTACTTTGCCAAAGTCACAAGACTCACTTTCTAATTATTAGATGTGACCACAGGACATAAATACAGATTCCCCATTTCCACCTACCCTCTTGAGAAATTTGCCAGCATTATACTGACATACTTTACAGGAACTTAGATTCATTTAGATTAGGTAAAATTGAAAGTTTTCAGCACCTTGTCCAAGTTGATACTTCTCCAGATTGAATTGCTGATAGAATTTAGGGATGGACAGATGGACAGATTCTGGTTGTGTTAATGTCTGGCACATTAAATCATAAATTGGTTGTATTCCATTTTCTTTGTAATTTAAGGTATATCAAAATATTCTGAACTCAAAATGGTAGTTTCAAGAATTTTAAACTCAGAAATCCCCCTCCTCCATAGTCTAGAATTTCATACAAGCTCAAGATAAAATGGGATGGGATCAAGCAGTTAAAAGCAGTGGGAGGTCCTTTGTATGTTTCTTCCTCTGGCCATTAGGCCATTGGGGACTCTTCCTTGTCTTGTCTGATTTTTCCTTAGGTAACATTTCCTTCCCTCATCTATCAAACACATTCTCACATATCATTACAGATTGTCACCAGTTTGAATGTCTGAAGCATGTCCATTGTATCATTTAATCATGTAGACTGGTCTGGACATGTTCTGCTTAGAGGTCAGAAAAACATGCTGGAAAAGGGTATAGGTATTCTTGCCAATAAAATCATATAACAGTGTGTCAACCTGCTCATGTATACCAGATGTGAAACAGACCAGATGAGCTACCACTATATTGTAATGCTAGTTAACAGAATCTTGCAGTTCTGAATGTATAGATCTCCACTGTTTCTTTTGAAGCCTGAGAAGTTCGGGAGAGTGTCTTCTGAGTCTCTTTTGCCAGCCTTTATGCAGCCATGGCCTATACTCTCTCTTATCTGATTGTTCTCTATCTAGGCTGTATCTTTTTGCCCTATTTCTCAAGGTCAACATCCATAAAGTCACTAAGAGCTTCCCTTATTTATCTCTTACTGCAGTTAATATCAACTGTCAGTTGGTATGTCTTCACATGGAACTACTTAAAAACATTGTGGAAAAAATAGAGGAGAATGTGAAAAAGAAAATATAAATTACTGCCATCTCCCCCCCTCCTCTTATAGAGTATTATTTTCCAAACTGTGGCTGAGTCAGTGGAGTCACAACACAATTACATTTAGTTTCTATAGTTTTTAAAAAATACCTTAAAGCTTTATGGAGCCATAAATGAAAAAACAATTTTTTGGACATATTGCTGCATAGAACATGCTGCTTCCATTAAAAATATTCTTGATTTTTCACAAGACAGTTATTCTGGAAAAACTGTTTCAGTTGAAATATATTCTTATATATTTCTAGGTTATTTGAGGTAACCAATTAATTATCACTTACAAAATTATGCAGGCACTGTTATCTGCCTGCCATACATTCTCTGCATTACAGACATTTAACTCTTTTCTTAAATCAGTGAACACATTTTCCAGACATTTTGGCATAATGTGGTTCATGGCAAGATTCATACATTATAATATTTTCCAGAAACATACAGTAAGTCTGACCTGTTTCCTTCTGGATTATAGATATAAACGAATGTGAAAGCAGTCCTTGTGTCAATGGTGCTTGCAGGAACAATCTTGGGTCTTTCATCTGTGAATGTTTATCTGGCAGCAAACTAGACTCTACAGGCTTCATTTGTATTGGTGAGTATAATGGTTTCTTTTTTTAAAAAATATGAATTCTTTAATTTGTGTTTAAACAATAGTCCTTAAAAGAGAAAAGAAGAGTATATGGTAATATCCAAGAAATAATATAGATGAACAGTAGCATATAGGCAACATCTTACCTGGTGACAGTCTGTCTGTCTGTCTGTCTGTCTATTTATTTATAATATTTTATTGATATTCTATTTTGATAATCAAGTGCCTAATTAAACAACATGATGACTGGGTCCATTAGTAATTTCATGATACATGTAAGCTTCTTCATACTTAATCCAATATTACACACTCCAATACATCCTCTCTTCATCTGGTAATAGACATTTTTCCACACTAAGCAAATACAGTTCTTATTGTTGTAAATAAATATACAATTGCCTATCAGCATTTGTTATATTTTTCTAAAGGTATCAATAATGTCAGTTTAAAGTATTTTTTAACCAAAGCATATCTTAATTGCATTTACATTCATTATCCATTTATTCAATCTATATCCTATTTTCGCTTTTTTCAGTTCTAATTCCCTTCTAGTAATAAATATTTTTCCACGCTAAGCAAATACAATTCTTATTATTGTAAGTAAATATAGAATTGTCTATCGATATTTATTATATTTTTCTAAAAATGTCAATAATGTCAGTTTAAAATAGCTTTTCTAACCAAAATGTATCTTAACTGCATTTGCATTCAATATCCATTTATTCAGTCTAAATCCTGTTTTCGCTTTTTACAATTTTAATTCCCCATTCATGTTCAAAATATCCCAATCATTTATCATTTCAAAACAAGTTATATTTGGGTAACCAAAAGTTTCCCCTATTCAAAATTCTTAACATATTTTCTTTCCCTTTTTATACCAAGATATGATATTCTGATTACAAATCCTATCTATCTAATTATAGTAATATTTCTATTTCTAACAATCTATTCTTTGCGGCCTCTGACCCGACGTAGATCTCGATTGGCTCCCTGGTTCACCGAGGAGCTGAGAGAGATGAAGCGTCGGAAAAGAAGCCTAGAGAGCAGTTGGAGGGCCAGCCGAACCGAATCCGACCGAACACAGGTTAGGATACATGTTAGATCCTACCTAGTGGCGATGAGGGTGGCTAGGACTAACTACTATTCCTCGCTCATCGCGTCATCAGATAACCGCCCGGCCGCCCTCTTCAGGGTGACCCGCTCTCTCCTCCAACTGAGGGNATATTCAAACATTGAATTGATAATGTAACATTCCCTCTAACAGGTCAAAGCTTCTGTTTCTTTCAGTCTTACTCTAGCTTTCTTCCTTTGCCAACTAACTTTCCAAGTCAGACATTTGGATCATCAAATAGTTCTTCCTCTACTTTTGTATATATTATTTGAGACAAGAGAATCAATTTAGTGAAGGTATTTTTGGAAGAATCGGCCCGTTGATATTCATTAAATAGCCTCCCTCCTTCTCCAATTCCCCACAGTTCTATTGACAGCTTTCTCTTCCATTCCATCAGGTCTCCTTCCTTATTCTCCAGTAAGTTCTGAGACTTTGATTTGTAGAATGTCTGCTCCATTTCCAATATTCTCATTGTGTCTTCTAAGTCTTCATTTATCTGAGTCTGGTCACAATTTTCTTCCTTCAGATCCTCAATGTTTATGTCAGCATTTTCTATTTTTCCTTCTGTTTTCTGAGTTGCTGGTTCCTTCTCTGTATTTATTTTCTGGGTTTGTAGATTAAAATTAAAAAATGTTCTTTTGTCTCCTTTGTGTTTCTTTGAAACTCATCACGAGCTAGAGCGATTATTTTTTGTATTGATTTCAACATGGAGAGAATTTCTTTCTGTGATTCATCAGTATTTTCTTTGTAATATGGTAAACTAAGACTTCTGGAGACAGGTGTTAAAGATGGTTTTTCACCATTTAAAGTTAAGTAGGAAAAATCCATTTTATATTTTGTAAGTAGTCTTTATGAGTTTATCCAACCAACTAGCTGTTCTTAAACCTCCCCTAAGCAGATATAAGTAAAGTTCAAATTTTTCTGTCCAATGAGAAAGATATCCTTTCTGTCCAGGGAGAAAAAAAGAACCATTACAAGTTGTTTAATAATCAAGATTTATAATCCAAAGTGTTCCAAAGTGTTTCATCATATCCAGCAATAGTATATACAGTATGTCTTCTTCAGGAGAATAGATCCACAATACAGTTCTAGAAGTCAGTATTTTGGTTCATAGTTCAAACAGGCCAATTTTAAAATGATATTATTGTCTCTGCCACACAGATAAGCGGTCCCAAGCTTGTTCCATTTTCCTCAGCTGCAGATCTCAAAAGTCAGAGCTTCAAGGCCAGCCAAAGTCTTATCTCACTCTGGGCTTCAAGCCAGGTTGCTTTTAGGCAAAAATAAATTGTAGTGCCATACATTCACCACTAGATGTCATCAACGCCTTTTTTCGGTTTTTAAAACTAAAACTTTAAAAAGTTTTTTTTAAAAAAGACTTTTTTAAAAAAAGTCTTAGAAAACCCTTTTAGTCCCCAAATTTCCAAGTCATATTTATGTATTAGTTCCAAGTTAGTCTTATAGGTTTCTCCTTTTCCCCAGGTAATTAATTTGCTACTTTCCTAAGGGAATGGGGTGGAAGTTCCCTTTCCCTTCTCTTTGGGGGGAGTGCTTTGGCCAGTTTTTCAGGAAAAGATCTTAAATTCATAAAGAGAGGCTTAGATCTCACCTGGTTTCATCCACATTGCTGTAAACTTGCTTAGTAGTGCTTGGTGTCTTCCATTGACAGCAGCTTCTGACTGGTTATGCGAATGTAGCCAATCTTTTCCCCGCCAGTTTGGAGGGCTTCCTCAGTTCAAATGGGAGGGCTGCCACCCCCACCCATGATCAAACAAGGGTCCCCTCCTTGCTTGCCGCCTCTACGGGGCTGTTTTCGATACTTTTCAGGGTTCCCCAAAGGGGCGAAATCAAACGTGGAAGACGCAGCTCGTCTTCCAACGTCTGCCTTGCTGCGACGCCATAACCAGAAGCCACCCTGGTGACATTCTGATTAAAATTCTTTTTTCTTCAAGAAAATGCTACCAAACTTGAGAAAAAAGTTTCAAATTATAATGTTACAAAAAGGATTTGTCTTTTATTTAGTGAATCTTAAATATACCACAGAAAAAAATAAGATGTAATTTGCAGTTAATACATTTATTACATTTAGAAAAATCCTAATTAAAAATTTCCATTGTTTGCTGTTAATAGAAGAATTAATTTTAATTAATTACTGATAAGTCTCCTCATAAAGTGTGCCATTTAGGTGGCTCACAATAATTGAAAGCAAGAAATTATCAGAAGAACCAATTAAAGGGAATAAATCATATTAAAAAATGGCATGAAGAACAGGCTGGATAGAATGAGGCAAGGGGTTGTGCTATCCCATGCCAAAGTTCTGAGTAAGGACCCTGGTCTTCATGGCTCTTCTAAACAACAGAAGAATGTTAGGCCATCCAAATCTCCAGTCTGCTGTTCTTTAGAAGAACTGTAAACAACAAGGTCTTTAGTGAGAGACTGAGACTTCCTTGCTTCGTTCTATCTATTTGATCCAACCTACATCAAAGGTAAAATTTTCTGATAGTGAGAACAGTGAGAATCAGTGGAATGACTAGCCTCTAGAAGTTGTGAGTGCTCCAACATTGGAGGTTTTTAAGAAGAGATTGGACAGCCATTTGTCCAGAATTGTATAGGTCTTCTGCTTGGATAAGAGGTTGGACTAGAAGACCTTCAAGATCCTTTCCAACTTTCTGTATTCTGTATTTGATCTCTCATAACTATATTAAGGTGTTAATATGCTACATAAAGAACAAGTGTTAATTTAATATTATTGAAAATTAAAAAAGTAAAAGTTCAAGACCTTGCCCTGGTGTCAAAGGCATAAAGGCATTTTTTATATTCTCCCATTATAATCTATATTCTGTGTTCTAATTAGGAGAGAGGGAGATGTTTTTGCAATTATGCTGAAAAAGAAAAGAAAGAAAGAATCGTAAAGGAAAGAGGGATTTCAAAAGACAAATTGCTAGATGTATTTTGCCAAATGTTTTTGGGTATATAAATCATTGCCTCATTTATAGCAATACTATAGCAGCAAAATTTGACAAGCCAGTTTGAAAGGCTCTAGCAGTAAATTTCTACATGATCAGCAGTTATTTTGTGTTTATTTATAATGAATATGCTTTACCACAGAAGAATTAGGAAGGCCTTATTGTGTTTTAATTTACTGTAGATAGTCTGAAGGGAACATGCTGGCTGAACATCCAAGATAATCGCTGTGAAGTAAACCTTAATGGAGCTACTCTGAAATCAGAATGCTGTGCTACTCTGGGAGCTGCTTGGGGTAGCCCTTGTGAGCGTTGCGAATTTGGTATGATTTCTACTTCATGATGTTCTCTAAATCACATAGATACATAGTCTAATTAGACTTCAGCTTCAGTAGAACGTGTATACCACACAGTTTACTTGGTGTTAAAAGTATTGAAATTTTAATAGTATTATTTATTCCTGTTATTTTTTTTTGTTTTATTATTTTAATGTGCACTAGTTTTAATGTTTGTAGGCTACCCAAAGTCGTCTCTGATGCAATAGGTAGCACATAAATTTAATAAACATATTTATATGTAAGAGTATGATGGAATACTTTCAGTTTGCCTACATTTTTAAATATATAATTCTAATTTTTAGATTTCTTCGTAGATTGAAGCAAACTTTTTATTTATCTTTCTTTGAATATTGTAATGTAGTTCTCAATTAAAATAAAAGTAGTCCTCAACCTATGACCATAATTGAGCCTGGAATTATGGCTGTAGGTCATTGTAAGTGAAGGCAATGTGTGACTGGACTTGATTTTTTTTTTTTGACATCCTTTGGAGAGGTTGTTAAGCGAACACTGCTGTTCTTAAGTGAATCAGGTTTCCCGTATTTTTACTGGTAACCAGAAGTAAATGCTAGAAACAAAAAAACCTATAAACCTGCCAATCACATTCACATAACCACGGGACACTGCAGATGGCCATAAAGATAAGCCGGTTCCCAAGTTCCCAAAATGTGATTATGTGACCGAGGCAGGGGTAACCATCATAATTCAAAAATGGGTCTTAAGTAACCTGGGGGTATTCATTGTAATTTTCAATAGTTGTTAAGTAACCAGTCGTACGTTGAAGACTACCTATAGTTTTTATGTGTTGATATTTTTTTATTTCAGGTGCATTTATGCTGCTTTAATCATTCTGATTTTTGACAGCTTACAGTAAGTCCTTGACTTATGACTGTAATTGAGGCCAGAATCATAGCATTAAGTCATTGTGGTTGTTAGGTAGGTCACTACATTTTTTTGTAGTGCTCACTAATCGAACATAATAAAGCAAATCCATTTTACCCAATGGGCCTTTTTTACTGGAAACCAGAAGTAAACACCTGAAATTTGCAAAAATAAATTAAAAGATCACAGTCATGTGATCACAGGACACTGCAAATGACTATAAAGGTGATCCAGTTGCCAAGAACCCAAATGAAATCACAGGACTCTGGGGGAGTGTGCAACCATTGTCTTTGAAATTAGTCTGTAAGTAGTTTTTGGAGAGGTCTGTCATAACTTTGAATGGTCACTAAGTGACTTCTCATAAGTCAAGGACTATCTGTAGTACAGCAATATCAAAATGTCCCTCACTCTGTAGTCCCAAATGCTTTTCTAAAATGCTGTGTTTTTGGCAGCTTTTTGAGTATCAGGAGTGAAGCTACAGGTCTTATTTCTGATGTTTGGGTGTTCCTGAAAATCAAAATCAAAAACATCCTCCTAACATTGTACAGCAGCTGCAGCTGCATGATCCTGATAAAAGTTTCAGCTGCTTTAAGGAGTTATTGACATGATGCATAAACCACCCATGTGCTCTAGAGCAGGGGTAGGCAATCTTGGCTCTTTTATGACTCGTGGACTTCAACTCCCAGAATTCCTGAGCCGGCTGGCTCAGGAATTCTGGGAGTTGAAGTCCACGAGTCATAAAAGAGCCAAGGTTGCCTACCCCTGCTCTAGAGGATATTATTATATCTCTATGTTATATATTTATAAATTTAATAAATATTTTTTCTCTTCTAATCTGAAGTCCTACCTAATCTGGATATGCACAGGTATGCATGTACAAACACCCATACTTATAAAAGTGTGTTTTTTGTAAAAGTATATAAAATGTATATATTAGGGGAAAATACTGAGTATACTTCCAGTTTTTCTTTTGAAATGGGAGAAATGGGATAATGAGTAAATACATGCAAATCTGACATGGATTTATTAATATATATTTAATTAATAGAGCATGAAATATTTTGTTACTAGGTTAGTGGGATTTGCAATATCAGTCTTATTTTCTACTATTCCAACAACCACTCTCTAAGTACAATTTTCCTTAATATCGCTGATAGTAAATTTCCCCCTTTTTAAAACTGTGGTTTATCCTCTTCTAAATTAATTTGTGTAATTGTGTGTGTATGTGTCTCTGTGTGTATTTCTCTAAATGTTTCTTCTTTTTTCTTACAGATACTGCATGCCCTAGAGGATTTGCAAGAGTCAAAGGTGTTTCTTGTGAAGGTAAGCTTGTTAGCTGTTTGAGTTATTTTAACTAACAGAATGAAATGAAAGTATTTTATATGATCCATATTGCTGTTGAAATCTACTTATTGTTCTCCAATGAACACTATCTTTTATTTTAGAATAATACTGTTGCAAACTTTCCTTTGAATTGATTTCAACTCCTTCAGGTTCCAGTTATTTTCTGGCAACAGAATAGAAATGGTTCTTCTGGGAGTATTTTCCAACTTTCCAATCTAGCCTAGAGCTATGGTATTTTTTGGTTGTATCCCACTTAATTATGGACCAGATGAAATCCTGCTTAATTTTTGAGATCAGCCATGGTTGGCTACGTCCTGCTGCTTTACTAAAGAAGTCATGATGGCTTATTCAAGCACACCCATGAAGTTTTCTTGTTAGCAACATGGAAGTCCATAGTATTGTTTTCTTCCAGCTTACTTTTTGGAAGTAATAAAGCTATTTTCCCTCTTAATTGTTTCCATTATAGAAAGCTCTTTGTTTTGGAAGAGGTGGAAGGACTTAAGGCAATAATACCATTACAGCGAATGTATTTATTTAGTTATGTGTTTGTTTATTGAAGAAATTGTATATTATTCTATCCCAAGTCTTTGAGTACTAAAAGCATTAAAGCATACAATAAAGCAACTAAATCAAATTATTAAACTAGGTAGTTAAATAAATATAAATATAAAAATATTCTCTAAAACTAGTCTCAGGCAGCCACAAACATTCAGTTAAACAGAACCTTTTAAATCACTTTCTGAAAGTTCAGTGAATAAATGTCAATTGTACTTCTGGGCAAGCTGTTCCATAGCGATATATGGAGACTAGGTCCATTGGCTCCGGATCTACTTACCATATTTCTTATAAGGTTAGAACCTGAAGCATCCCTTAAAGAATTGCAGAGAATTGTTCTATTCAAAGGAGATGGTTCTAACAGTAACCAGGAATTAAGGCTTTCTAGTGCTATCCTATCACTTTGAATTGCCCTCAGAATTCTGCTTTACCCACAAAACTGGTTTTAACCTGCTAATGCAGCTATCACCTGTCAGCAAGGGAGCAATTGCCTTCTTTATTGTTTGTACTTTCTGAATGACCTTTAAAGGCAGAATGTTGTAACATTCTAATATGAAGGTGTAAGGCGAAAAGTCACTGTTGCAAAAATTTCTTGCTGTAAAAAGAGCCACAAACAACACACCAGCCAAAGCTGGTCAAAGGACCCCCTCCCTATCCATGGCTTTCACCTTTTGATCAACTGTCCAGACCTCTTTTTTCAGGTAGGGGACCAGATCTTCTAAATGACTGCCATTTAAAAAAAAATAAGTTAGCTACCTATTCTTAGGTTTAAGAAATATTTCCTAAGTGTATGTAATCAAATTCTTTGCAATTCAAAAGTTATATGAAAAATCCATTTTGAATCCTGATTTTAGCTGCAGTCTATAGAAAACAAAAAAAACCATGAATCCAACAAAATTCTAGGTTTAATCTCAACAGATATCTGCACAATCACCTCTCATTTTTTAAAAAAATAGGCCAGTTCAATTTTGACTAAATATTCAAAATAAAGTTTCACTGCTCAGTGAAGCATTGTACCCTTATTTGTACTTTCCTTTTCTTCTTTCAAAAAAATATAGCTGCATAAATAAAATGTAACTTGTTTGTAGGAAAGATACAGGTAGTCGTCGACTTACAACAGTTCATTTAGTAACCGTTCAAAGTTACAACAGCATTGAAAATAGTGACTTATGACCATTTTTCACAGTTACAACCTTTCCAGCATCCCCATGATCATGTGATCAAACTTCAGAGCTTGGCAACTGGTTCATATTTATGACCGTTGATGTGTTCCAAGGTCATATGATCACCTTTTGTAACCTTCTGACAAGCAAAGTCAATGGGGAAGCCATATTTACTTAACAATCAGGTTACTGACTAATCAGCTGCAGTAATTCATTTAACAACTGTGGCAAGAAAAGTCGTAAAATGAGGCAAAACTCACTTAACAAAAGTTTCACTTAATGACAAAATTTTTGGGTTCAATTGTGGTCTTAAGTCGAGGACTACCTGTACTATCTTATATTTCTGATATACAGTATGGGTATAAGAGTAGATAGTAAACTCGCTTTTATATCTATCTATCTATCTATCAGATGTAAATGAGTGTGAAGTTTTTCCGGGGGTGTGTCCCAATGGGCGGTGCATCAACAGCAGAGGCTCTTTTCACTGTGAGTGTCCCAGCAGTCTGACATTGGATGGAACTGGCAGGGTGTGTTTAGGTGAGTATTCAAGATATTTCTCTTAAGCTTCTATCTACCTACATAAGCCACTACAAGTTACGCAGTGAAAGAGATTCTCAACTTTTATCACTCACGCACGTTAGCCTTTTCCAGTCTGTTATCATCCAAATGCCGTAGAGCTGCAAATCTCAGAATCTTAGATGTCTTTGTTAACTGAAGAAAAATGAGATAGAACAGATATTTTTTGCATTTATTGTGCACATGTTCAGGTTTAACTTCAGATTCAGATTGGCTAAACACAAGAATTACACATAATTAGAAGTATGTGCACACACAAACACAAACATACACACACACGTACATGCATACTTACATTCACATATATTGATCATACTTATTGGAAAGGAAATCTGTTAATAAATGGACATTGCTTCCACCAAAACCTCTTCTCAATATCATAGAATGACCGAAATGCTCAGGAAAAACTTTGCAATAGCCTCTGTTTTGTTTTTATTGGTTCATTTGCAGATGTACTTTCCACCTACTTCTTAGAATTTCACATTATATTTGTACTTGTTAAATGTCAGCATTTTGTAAACATATTGAATTAATTTTACAAAACAACTACATGACAATAAAATTAAAAACAGAGCTATGTCTCTCTCACCACAAAATAACATATATAACTTTTCTAATTCTGTTATAAAGTAGAAATATATTCGGAATAGATCCGTGGTGGCGAACCTATGGCACGCGTGCCACAGGCGGCACGCGGAGCCGTCCCTAGTGGCACGCGAGCCATTGCTGGGCTGAGCTGCTTCCCTCCTCCGCTTCACCCATGCACAGTGCTTCGTGCTCTCTGCGCATGCGCAGCTCTTCATGCACTCTGCACATGCGCAGCTCTCCGGGGGGGTGGCTGTTTGGTTTTTATTCCCCTCCCATCTGTTGGGTGGTTGCAGCAGGTTTTGGTCTCTTCTGTCGTGCTTTGAGGTTACCCACAAAGCACGTTTGTTTGGGGGGGATCCCCACTCTAGTTGCTAAGCTTGCTTAAACCCTCTTCCCCCTCCTCCTCCTCATCAGAGCCCCCCTTTGTCTGCAACCAGCCCCAGCCCCTGCCTCGCCTTGCCTTGCCCCACGGCAATGGCACCCCTTCCCTGCCCCCTCCCTTGCCTCACCTCACCCTGCAGGACGAGCCTCCTACCCACTGCCCCCACCCGCCAGAGAACCCCTGGATCTCCCCCAATCCTACCTGCCCGGCCCCCATAGGCATCCCTCTCCAGGAGCGACATCGAGGTGGCCACGCCCACCCAGACTACGCCCACCCATGCTACCATGACTACCATAGCCACACCCATTTGGTGGCCATGCCCACTTGGTGGCCACGCCCCTGGCACTCGGCGATGCATAAGTGGGTTTCGGGTTGCAGTTTGGGCACTCGGTCTCAAAAAGGTTCGCCACCACTGGAATAGATAATACACCTAAAATTACTTCTAAAAAGATAGACATCTGCAGGTCTATCTTGTCAGGATGAAGAAAGCAGCATGGTGATGTTACAACTGCAGGTTCTGCTCCTTTTGTACATGCATGCAATGTTATAATGAATATACAAAAAGTCAGGTCTTACAACATAAATCTACCATGCTGTTTTCATAATTCTGCCCCCTTGTGTATATGCTGCTTTGTAGTAAATTCTACGATATTGAGAATACTTTTTTAAAGAAGTATTTAACAGTCTCCTATAATTTATTATTATTATTAATCCATAAGAAAGACTTTTGTATTTTTGAATTCATATTTAATTTGGATTAATTATAATTAATATTTATTAGATTTGACTTAAGTACAATTGGAAATCTTTCATATTAATTTGCATATCTGCTCACATAATGAGCATCATATATACCCGTTATGTGAATGCGCATGCTGATTAACATTCTCTTACTTTGAACTGGCAGTAAACTAATCAACACATTTGAATATAGTTTTAATGTTCCCAATGGACCACAGGGGTTGGAGACCCTTGGCTTACAGCATATACAAATAAATGCAGCAGAAACACTTCCACATGTGATGATGCTTTTAATGACACATGTAGATATCCGAATGGAGCAGTGTTATCTGAGATGGGATGAAGATGACTGTGTTCAACCTGTACCTGGAAAATTCCGTATGGACACATGTTGCTGTGCTATAGGTGGTGCTTGGGGTTCAGATTGCGAGGAATGCTCCAAGCCAGGCACAAAAGAATATGAAGACTTATGCCCCAGAGGTCCAGGCTTTTCCAACCGTGGGGACATTTTAACTGGAAGGCCATTTTACAAAGGTAAGGAATAATTTTCAGACAAACCTTATGTACTTCATTGATATTTTTTTTTAATTCCATTAACAAGGACTCATAATCCACCAACTACAGGTAGTTCTCAACTTACAACAGTTCATTTAGTGACCATTCAAAGTTACAACAGCACTAAAAAAAGTGACTTATGACTATTTTTCACACTTATGACCGTTGCAGCATCCCTATAGTCATTTGATCAAAATTCAGATGCTTGGCAGCTGACTCATATTTATGATAGTTGCATTGTCCTGGGTTTATGTGATCTCCTTTTGTGACCTTCTGACAAGCAAAGTCAGTGGAGAAGCCAGATTTACTTAACAACCGTGTTACTAACTTAACAACTGCAATGATTCACTTAACAACTCTGGCAAGAAAAGTCATGAAATGGGGCAAAACTCACTTAACAAATCTCTTACTTAACACAGACATTTTGGTCTCAATTGTGGTCGTAAGTTGAGAACTACCTGTATAATTTTAACAGATAGCTTTTGATAAAAAATGAAGTCCTTTTATGAGATACACAATTGTTGAAACAATCAACATAGGCCCAGTCTCTTCCTTCCTTTGCTATGCTTGGAGGATCTTCTCCAAAACATATGAAATATTATATGCCGTACATGATGCAATTATTCAAGCAAAAACAAATAAGCATTCTCTTTTGTCTTTTCTCGTCTTTTGAAGCAGCTACAAAGGATTGTGAATTTGGTGAGGAATGAAAGTTCTTTCCCCAGAGATATTTTCCGCTCAAAATCATATTCCAAAACCATACATTTTCTCTCTCAAATGAGAAATAGCTGAGAAAAGTGTTTTTGACTGGGAAAATGGTTAGAAAAGAAACATTTAAGCACAGCATTCCTAACAGATGTTTTTCGTTACAGTTGTCAGGAAACTACTAAATACATCTGCCTTATAAGGTCTAGTTTTACCATTGTGTAATTGAAAGGCAACTGTGGAAAGTACCACTGTATCCAAGATGACAAAAGGTTCTTTCAAAAGTTGTGAAATATACAAGTGTTATATAGTCCTATGCATGGCATTAGTAGCACTTATCCAAGTCTTTATGTATTGAATTGCAGCCAAAGAGATTTTGTTCAATTCAGTATTTTTATCTCTGGGTTTTTGAATCAGATATAATCATAAATACAATAATATTTCTTTATACAGTCAACTGAATTATTGAGCCTAATTTTCTGTGAAGGAATGAAATTATTTGGAATACACATTTATAATTCCCAGACTACTGTCTGAATAATTAGGGGGCCCTCTTAGAAATGCAAGATTTGGCCATGTAACCTTAATCTATCCCTTTGTTCTTTATTCTTTTCCAGGCAGCATTTTCAGACACTGTTTGCCATGGCTCTCATTCTACAGCTGAGAGGTCAAAATCACTCATTTGGCTTCTGTACCTAAAGCAGCCAATTGAGAGCTCTCCACTCAAATGTAGTGCTTTAATCATTAAACCAAGCTGCCTTTCCTTAGGATTTTGTTTGTTTGTTTTTGTTTTCTTTTGTTTTTGCATTTTACTAATCTTAACTCCTGCTAACTATGTGGACAAGCATGTGCAGTTTTCTAGGCAATATTTTGAGAAATGGTTTTTTTTGTACAAAAACATCCCTTCTGTATGCAGGATGTTATTACTTTAATGATGACTTCACAAACTTGCTTGGTAATTTAATGATTTAATTGCCCACATCAGTTTTTGAATATGAATATATCTGAGACTCGTATCTTCAAAACTATTTTATCAGAATAAATCTATATCTTTTCTTATTTATCTAAGTGATACATTATTAACTGCCAATCACAAAGAAGCACAATTCCTAATTTTAAACAATGATATCTTCCTTGTTCATCATATTAAAGCAAAAATGAAAGAGTTTACTATGCACTTTGAGGAAGTATGGTTTCATAACCAATTCCCAGTGGTCTGAATTTTTTTTGGATAATTATTTTGTGATGAAAAGATCTACAAAATAAATACAAGGCATCCAAACGAATGGAAACATTAAAACCATTAATCACTTATTTACAGTGCTTTTTTTGTAAAAAAAAAAAAAAAAAAAGGTGCCGGAACTCACACGTGTCATACAACTTGCCTTGCCTACCCTACAAGGTTCCATCCAAAAAAGGTGCTGAAACTCCGTTCTCGGCGTTCTATGACAAAAAAAGCCCTGCTTATTTATAATAATCCAGATGTATTCCTTTGGTGTATGAGTATATTTTTCTATTTGATAAATAACCTCTTGTACCCATAAAGTATGCATTTATTTTCTTGTTGCAGATATAAATGAATGTAAAATGTTTTCTGGCTTGTGCACAAATGGCAAATGTAGAAATACAATTGGAAGCTTCAAATGTAGATGTAACAATGGATTTGCACTTGATATGGAAGAGAGAAATTGTACAGGTAAATTTGAGGTGGGATTACATTGCTTTATCAGTTAAGAGACTCTTATTGCTGTCATTTCATGTGCAGAGATCTTGTAATCTTGAAAAGCGTTGATGTCAATCTCTAATCTTCATTAGAAAACTAAAACATTGTTTTTCTCAACATTCCTACAATCTAAATTTAGATGATATGTAATTTTGAACAGTTAGATAACCAGATAGTAAAGATTTGAGTAGTTTTGCTCCGCCTTCCATTTTTCTACTAAAACTAATAAATTTTTGTACATTTTTCATTTTAAAAATATTTTGAAAAATATTTACGCACTGGCCTGTCTACAGGTGTTTAAGATCTACACTGTGTGAATTCGATGTTTGTAAGTAAGATTGTGCATGCTTTGAAAATGATTCAGAAGTGTTTTGGACCTCTCATGTAAACAACTGTTTGCTATTCATTAAAGCAGGCTAACTTTTCAGGCTCCCATACTGCTTTATGGGAGTATACTGCTTTAAAAATGGAAAAGTTGGGCTACTTTAATGAAAAGCAGAAAATAATTTCTTCCAAATCATTTCAGCCTTGGAGGTAAAAGAGCTAAATACTTTCCAATAGTTACTAGCCCCTGGCCCTGAGGCCTTCTTGCTCTGTCTTCTCTTTGCAGGCATTGTTAATTCTTTGCTCTTCAAGGAGAACTGTTAATGAGAGAACATACAAAAGCAACACATTTTTCTTCAGTTCTTTTGTCTTTGATAGATTATATTAATGTGAAGCATGCCTATAGAAGATATTTATCTCAATTTATCACATAATGCCACAATTTAAAAATGCTAAACCCACATTTTGCACTGTAGTCCTAGATCGCCACATTCTGTCACTAATATAGTCTGTGTGTCTTTTTAAAAATACAGATCTCACATTTTTTAATGTAAAGAGAAAAGCATAGGTAAGACTTGTTAACAGTAGAATGCTTAGAAAGATTTCTTAAAATATAATTGTACCACTGTATTTAAAATAACAATAGTACTAATGGAAAAAAATGGAAAACTTTCACAGAGGCAAGAGAAAAGGCAGGTTATTTAAATTATCATCAACTGGCTAAGTTGTTTAAATATGGCTTCAACCTTTCTAAATAAATCACTGTTCAACATTGTTCTGAAAGGAGAAATAATTCTTTAACATCTAAAAAAATCTGAGAGTTAGTTAGGGGCTTTATACATCTGTGAAGAATAGTTGGCTGCATTGTGGGTGGCTGCACATTTAAAGTGAAAAGAAGTTTGTTCTGGAACGATGGAAATTAAATCACCAGAGTAATGTAAAATGTGTGTGGCAAGACATGTAAATCAAGGTTTTCTTGGTATTAATATTGCTGTAGCAGTTATTTCCTTGTTTATATAATGATTGTTTTCCTTGTTTTTATAAAGATTGCATTCATAAAAATGTTCCTGCCAAACTTAATTTAAAGTTTGGAAAGAAAAAGTTACCCTGAATTCTTACATCCTATCACGTATCAGGAGGAGTTTCTATTTCTCTGAGATAAAGTCACCTCATCACTAGAAGAAAGGTCAATTCTCTCATTAGGGGAGCCAGGCCAGTTTCCCAGTCCAGTTAAATAAAAAAAAAAATAGAGCCCACATTATACTCATGCTATTATATTATACTCAACACATTTTCCTTCCTTTCTTTTCTCTCATAATGTGTAGTGAGGGATTTGAATGTCAGCTGAGTAAATCAGGAAGAGGCCTTGTATGCTGTTCATGAGAGACCTCCTGACTGCTCTTTTCTTTGTGTCAGAACCATGCATAAGTTATTTTTTCCTCCTGTTCTGCCTGCTAGATTGGGAACAGTATACTTGAAACCTTCCTTCAGTCTTAGAATTTAGATTGGCTCGTCTCACTTCCTTTCTAGTCCAGCCAATTTGAGAAGAAACTATGTGCCTGCCCTCCTCTACATTCATTAGTAAGGGTGGGCAAGCTTTCTGCCATTTTTTCTGCAGTTTAAAGCAGAAAAGAAAATGCAGCAAAAGAAGGCTTATTGGTTGCCATACTTGACAGTCAACTATCTGGAGATCAACAGAGCAATGTGAAAGAGGTGCATTTCAATATCAATCAATCAATAAGGCCTTTGGTTTTCCTCCTGACAGTATCTATCTGTCTGTCTAACCGTCCCTCCAACCACTATATATCCATCCACCCACCCACCCACCCAGACCAAGTTATAAAATTAACATGCATATTACAGATATGATAGACAGCACCAAAAAGTTTATGAATATCAACATAAATATATATATAGTTCTGGTTGTGGTTATTGTAAATTCAAATGCTAATTAACATTAACAGGGCCTCCAGAATGAACACTAGTTCATGTTACCTGTTTCCAGATTCGTATAAAGGTGGATGGCATAGCATAGATCTAGACCACCCTTACTGCAGACTCCATGATATATCTATTTGGGATACTTGTGGTATTATTTTCCACAGTGCAGATAGTATCCTAGGAGCCCAATAAGGTTAACTTCTACCCACGTTATAAGAATAGGTCATTTGCTTATAAATAATTCCAGGAGAAAAATGGAGAAGTTTGAGAAGAATGAAAAGGAATAAAGAATGATTGGTTGTCAATAATTGTAGAAATTACAGGTTATAGCAGTGCATCCTTTCATTATATAAATATCACCTTCTTGTTTCAGTCATCATTCTTCCAATCAGTTTCAATAATTGTAAGGCTCCTAGTGCCTCTGCATTTGAACGGTATTCTTGTCTCTGTTCTTTGGAGAACTAATTTATTTGATGCTTATGTTACAATAACATGTTGTTTCTTTTTTTTATTCTGGAACTAGATATTGATGAATGCCGTATCTCACCTGATCTTTGTGGAAGTGGCACTTGTGTCAACACTCCAGGAAGTTTTGAGTGTGAATGCTTTGAGGGCTATGAAAGTGGATTTATGATGATGAAAAACTGTATGGGTGAGTGGTGGAGTTTTTGTACAGTTTTTTTCCAGCTTCAAATTCTCCACATGTGTTGGACTGAGAATTCTTACAATTGGGGTACAACAATTTTATAATGTTATGTTACGTTACGTTACGTTACGTTACGTTACATAGGTCCCCCACTCTTCGGCCATGGTCCACTATCAAGTCTTCAGCCATTCGGAATTGGGCCGTGGAAGTGGTGGGCAAGCACATGCGCCTGCATACCCACTATTAAACTAAATAGTGGCCTCTCTACAGAAAAAGATTTTTCAGGAATAGCAAAAGTTCACATACTACTTGCGAAAAACACGTGGGCCTTAGCACCTATTTTGCTGCTTATAGTCTAAACAAATCTCCAAAAAAGGTGGTACACGATCCTTTTGTATATATTAGAATATATAAAAGAACCTCAGAAATAGCAGTAAAGGAAATCTCAACATATTGGATTTTAAAAGTCTAAATAGGATTTTGTAAGCATCGAATTACCCATATTCCTGTCATATCATTATTCTGTTGCTTTGCATGTACACTGAGAGCTTCTGCACTGGAGACAAATTCCTTGTGTGTCTAATCACACTTGGCCAAATAAAGTATTCTATTATTGTTATAAAATGTAGACGAGATAAATTGTTATTGTTTTTATAAACAGGGTCTTAGAATGTAATTGTTTCTTGTTGCTTCCCTTTATTGGCAATTAACATGTCTTTTAAAATCTTTTCAGACATAGATGAATGTGAACGTAACCCCCTTCTTTGTAGAGGGGGGAAATGCTTGAATACTGAAGGAAGCTTTCAGTGTGACTGTCCTCTTGGGCATGAATTATCTTCATCACGTGAAGAATGTGTGGGTAAGTTTCATGCATTTATGAATACATTATTTTGTGAATAAATAACCTATGATGTTGCAATAGCATAATATAAATTTGTCCACTAATGCATTAAAAATTGTTTTGCCTGGACCATTTGGATTACCTATATACCCGTCATATTGTTTCCTTTTAGGGAAAGCAGTGTTACGAAAATTTCAGAACAGAAGAAACAAATAAACAAAAGAAAATAAAAACAAGATATAAAAGAAAATAAAATTAACTAAATCTAACTTACACTAACACCATTCACTATAATTTTCAATACTTTTCTATCCTTAATGCTTCCAACAAATCCACCACTGAGAGAGGACTGTAAAGCACTGTGAAGCAGTATATAATCTATATATAAAATACCAAAGCACTTAGACTTATATATTGCTTCACAGTGCTTTACAGCTCTCTCTAAGCAGTTTACAGAGTCAGCATATTGTCCCCAACAATCTGGGTCCTCATTTTACCAACCTTAGAAGGATGGAAGGCGGTGAGACTCGAGCGGTATTGCGGAATTAGCCTGCAATACTGCATTCTAATCATTGCGCCATCACGGCTAATATATTTATAATAAACTAGCTGTACCCGGCCACGCGTTGCTGTGACTCAGTCTGGTTAAATGGAAAAGAAAGAAAAGAGAAAGCGCACGTTTATAATATGTTTAATTTCACAATGCTTGTGGGCATACAATATACATCCAACAGATGGCGCTGTTTTTCAAAAAAAGCATGTTTTACCTGTCACAGGTGTGACATCTATATAATAATAGGTATATAAAAACATGCGCGTATTTGAATGCAACGTTGTGTCAAAATTTTAAAGCAGTCAGTGAAGAACTTTCGGAGATTTAAGATTTTGAACAAACAAACATTTACATTTTTATTTATGTATAAGAAGAAGATATACTAAAGAAAATTGAATGAGTTAAGAGTTAGTAATTCTTAACTCATTTGCTTTTCTTTAGTACATTTGTTTTGTGATTATAGTTCAGTGTAATTTACGCCAGCAGTAGTTGTTAAACCCACCATCCAGTTACAACTGATGAAGCTTATTGGATGAGAAGGGAAATAAATGTCTTCTTCCTCCTCCTCAAGGAAAAAAAAGTCCAGTTGCCTTTTGAAAAGCACCTTTGAGATAAGCATTCCATTTACTCTCATACATTCTTTACTTTCATATTGTACTGCTTTTACCCCATTCATTAACCAACCTTCAGCTCCATATTGTTCTACAATTTGGGCTTTTCATCCTGTCTTAAATCTAGAAAAATATAATTATTTTTTTTCTTAAATAATTCATGATAATTTTCCTAAATCAGTTGTGTATAATTGTATTTAAACAAACATTTTACAATGACCTGCTGAAAAGCACAATCATATACATATACAGTACATCTGCCCAGTATAGTGGTTCATTGCAATTCCAAAGTTTAGTCTGGTCATTCCTTGTATATTTAATCACAGTTCTGTCCCAACTTCTTTCCAGTTACAATTAAAAATATAACATATAGTTTTTACATTCATTCCTAAGTTTTCCTTCTAAATCTTTGTTCCATCATCAATCAGGATGCATTCTCAAAAACAAATGCATTGTTATATTCATTGCATAAACAAACTGCATCCATATTTTAGCACCTCTAGAGTTATGCCAACTATACTTGCAACATTTTTACATCAGTTCTCATCATCTTATTCTCAGACAGTAATACATAAAGGATATCAGATTTCGGTCTACCTGTTTATCTATTGTAGCTTTTTTGTCAAAAGGATAACTGAAAATAGAACAGAACACGGGAGGACTTCCGGTGGCAGGCGACTTCGTCGGACGCAGCTGTTTGCTGCCTCCCGCCTGTTTCAGCGTAAAAGCCGTTTTGACAGCCAGCATCAGCTGTCAAACGGCTTGATACCCTTCCCCTGGGCATAAGGGGATAGGTGAGCTGCCCGGGGTAGGAGTTGAGTTCCCGAGTCGTCCCTTGTGGACGATGTAGGTTAGAA